CAAGGAAAGTGAACTATCGACTTATTTAGGGATTTAGGAAAGCTAGATCAACCATCGATAAAATAGTGATCCTTAAAGACGCATTCCAGAACTCTTTTGCAATGCACGAGCATGATGTAGGGAAATTCTTTGACTTGGAAAAAGTCTATGATATTACATGAAGATATATAATAAAAAAGAAACTTGGTGATTGAAATGAAAAATACCTCTATTTATAGAAAACTTCCTCAGATTAGAGTTCGCATTGATAACACGCTATCTAACTCTTTCATTATGGAAAATGGAGTACCACAAGGATCCACACTCGGTGTAACCTTGCTTTTGATAGTGGTAAATGACTTGCTCCTATTCGTCCCTGAACCGGCGAAAAAATGTCTCTACATTGATGAACTTATGATATATTTCGCAGACAAATCCATGACCGAAATCCAAGAAGCCCTACAACATACTGACAATGCTCTCAAAATGATCAGCGTCTGGCTTCAAATTTTTATAATCATCAACCAATTGCATTCACTTCTGTCGTTTGAGAAAGCCTCACAATAAACCTCAACTTTTCATTTATGATACTGAACTCCCAGTTGTAGCAAAAAAAAGTTTTAGGGGTACTCTATGAGTCAAAATTATCATGGGAGAAAGAAGATTCTCAATGTTGTTAGATGTGTATCTAACACCAATTGGGGTGCCAATAGCGAAGTGCTCCCAAGACTACAAGTTTCTAGTTTTATCCAAGACTGACTATGGAAGTATTGTTTACTTGTCAGCATGGAGATCCAGTGTCAAAAATCTTCGAATCCATACAATGTACAGGGTTGAGAATAGTTACAGGAATATTTCGTACTAGTCCATTGGAATCCATTTGTTGTCAGATAGGAGTCCCTCCTTTCAAATTCAGAAGAAACCAACAGATCTTAAATTACACCAACAAAATGTGGGCACTTCCATCACACCCGGTACACACATTGATCTTTTCTAACAATCAAGAAAATAATTTTGACAGTAGACCAACAATTACTTTGCCAGATTTCAGAGCAAAATATTACGAACCAACTTGACTATGGAATTCTCCAGCGTTCTTCCCAAAAACTTCTGCAAAATTGCACCTAACATGGAACTGGAACAACCTTAAATGCAGTTAGAAGTCACGAAACATAATGAGAACGATTGTAATAATGTTATGATGAAAACAAATTGTTTTGGTATACCATCCGAATATCAGGGTGCGGACACTATTTAAATGGACGGCTCAAAACTTATGATGGAGTGGGAAGTACATTTTATACGCCAGGAGGCAGCCACTTTTGGTCGCTTCCAGAGTTCTCAAGTATATTCACCACTGAATTAATTGCCACCTGGCAAGCTTTGAGCTATTCCGAATCAGTTTAACAAAATACTATCATAATATGCACAGTCATTGAGCTATCTCCAGACTATGGAGAACATTTTTTCAGAAGATCCACTTGTTCAACATATAATCGTATTGACCAACTGAATAACAGAAAAAGGAAAAAATATATACTTGGAAACGAAGCAGCTAATAATGCGACCCATCAAGCAGCAGGTACAACCGAATTCGATGACATATCGATTCGATCCAATGACCTCGGAAGAATAGTAGACGTCGAGATTAAACATGGGGAACTCAAAGCTGTAGGTAAAATGAACTCTCTATAGAAATTGACATGATATGAACAAGTGATCCTAACTCGCTTGAAACTAGGAAATACCCACCTCATTTCATCAAACCTATTACAGAGCGATAGACCAGAACTATGCAACATCTGCAATAGAATAGAAACAGTCCATCACATCTTAATCGAATGCAAGTTCACGAACAACTTAGACAGACATTGAATATGCCTAAGACACTAGAAGAATGCTTATTGAATGATGTGACTCTAATCAAAAATACATTTAGTTTTATAAAATAAAGTAACCTCCACCAAAATATATAACTGAGAATTGACTTTCCCAGCTGTGAAGTAGCAGCTAATGACCCTAGCAGTCGATGCTGCCTAATCAAGAAAAACTTTTCCTCTGCCAAGTTTATAGTTTAGAGTCTTTCACAAATTCTGGATTTAACAATTGTCAAATAGGTTCAAAGTTTTGATATTGAACATCGTATTTTAAAGTGAAGTCAGTGAAAAGTTGAGCCAGGAAATGAATTTCAATGAACAGAATCATATTCAAATTTGTTGAAACTAATGCTGAGAAACAAAACATTCGTGATCCAGCACCAGACAGCACTGTTTCGACCTGAAATAGGTCTCATCAATGGTGCTAGGCTGAACGGCGAAAGGAACATGAATGCTTTGTTTTTGGGATGTAATTTCAACTAGTTGACTAGCAGTGAAACGCAGAACAAATCTCATTTGTCTGTTAATGTCCAAGATAGGCCTTGCAACGGACCACCTAGGGAAGTCTCGTTAATCTTTCATATTTGTTAATTGATAGATGGCGTATTCTTAAGAGGAGGTGTTAAAATCTGTTTTTCCGATAACCAGCTGTCGGCCCCCTACAAACGACAACTCTCAAAAGTCGAAACTTGTGCGAGTTAAAGACTAATGAGATTTTACCTTTTAACGTGATTCCTAACACGGAATGAAGAAATGAAAGAACATGAAGAAATTAAGGAGATTCTTACAACAGAAAATGTATCAAATTATGACTTTTCTGAATCTAGTTTGAAGAAATGTTTCTGATTTACAAAGGATTTCATCAGTTCGGACTTCCATTGTCTGAAATGATATAAATTGATTTGAAGTCCCTGAAAGAATCCGTAAAAACATTAAAAAGATTAGCTGAAAAAGCAATTTTATTAAGCAAAAAAATTGAAATTACAATGAAATAACATACAAACTACCAAAAAACCAAAAAATTGAACTATTAACACGAGCTCACAAATTAAAAAATTATTAACAAGAAATGAAAATTCAAAATATAAAATAAAAAGATTCCAAACCAAGATACTTCACAACGTTTCGATTCCACAATCGTCTTCGGGTGATAACTGGACTTATTCCTTCGAGATGTGACTATTTATAGGTCATTCGACTGCTTTCACCTACCCCCTCTTCTCTTCTCGAAGCAATAAGTCCAGTTATCACTCGAAGACATTTGTGGATACTAACAATCGTGAAGTAACTTGGTCTGGAATCATTTAATTTTCATTTCTTGTTAATATTTCATTTAATTTTCATCTCGTGTAATAGTTCAATTTTTATATTTCGGTTGTAGCTTGTATTTCATTGTAATTTCAGTTATTTGCTTAATAAAATTGTTTTTTCAGCTAATCTTTTTAGTTTTTTCCCAGACTATATCACATCAATGATGAAACGTGACTCCAGTTAGATGGGGTATCAGTACATATTTTTGGGAAGTACGAGGAGTTGGATGTGATATAAGCGGAGTGGACTAGAAAGGTTTATTCTAATGATATAAATTGATTTGAAGTCCCTGAAAGAATCCGTAAAAACATTAAAAAGATTAGCTGAAAAAGCAATTTTATTAAGCAAAAAAATTGAAATTACAATGAAATAACATACAAACTACCAAAAAAACAAAAAATTGAACTATTAACACGAGCTCACAAATTAAAAAATTATTAACAAGAAATGAAAATTCAAAATATAAAATAAAAAGATTCCAAACCAAGATACTTCACAACGTTTCGATTCCACAATCGTCTTCGGGTGATAACTGGACTTATTCCTTCGAGATGTGACTATTTATAGGTCATTCGACTGCTTTCACCTACCCCCTCTTCTCTTCTCGAAGCAATAAGTCCAGTTATCACTCGAAGACATTTGTGGATACTAACAATCGTGAAGTAACTTGGTCTGGAATCATTTAATTTTCATTTCTTGTTAATATTTCATTTAATTTTCATCTCGTGTAATAGTTCAATTTTTATATTTCGGTTGTAGCTTGTATTTCATTGTAATTTCAGTTATTTGCTTAATAAAATTGTTTTTTCAGCTAATCTTTTTAGTTTTTTCCCAGACTATATCACATCAATGATGAAACGTGACTCCAGTTAGATGGGGTATCAGTACATATTTTTGGGAAGTACGAGGAGTTGGATGTGATATAAGCGGAGTGGACTAGAAAGGTTTATTCTCTGGACGCCGAGGACAAAGGAAGTAACATAAAAGGATTTTCATTTATGGAGAACGGTGAAATTGAAGGTTTATCCCACTGCCGCTACTACACATGAAGACATAAAATTAAGAATTCGTGAGGCATTTCCACGAATTATACCTTTCTATCTGATACATGTGAGTACAACATTTTTGAAGAGATTCATAAAATTTACAGAACTAGGTGGAAGAAAGACATCTATAAAATGTATTTATTATATGTGTCATTACTGCCGTTTCTTTTGTTTTGAATCCAAAATGTATTTTTTCTTCATTTTTGTTTTATCTTGAAAAAGACATATAATCAAAGAATGGTTAGTAATAACAACAATTTGGTATTCCCGCTTGGGAAATTTCATGTAGAATGCAAAGACAGTTTAATAAACAGAGTGTTGACATAAATAGAAGCAACATTTAAAGCACCCCAAATAAATATAAATGTTCCTCAGATCATTACATGCTATTTTGATGTTCTCTAAGCCACCTCGCCAGACAAATTTCAGATCATTAATAAAACAACTTAGTTACAGTTATTACATTCAGGGCTGCTTTCACTTACGAATTTTACAAAAAATCAATAACTCGTCAACTGCTCATTGTGGCTGACAACAAATTCAGTGCTGAGTAGTAAAGTATAACATTTTTGTGACAGAAAAATGAACTGGTTGTTCCATTTGAAGAATTTATATTATTTGCTCTCACGAAAAAATACATTTGTATGTATGTCTGAAACTTATTTTGGTATGTAACCATCCTGGTGCCATATAACTTGCATTCGAGTTTTTTATATCTATTCACATTATAGATATATCAACCAAATGTGCACTATTGGGATACATTGTATATTCAAAACAAACATACCTTAGACTTGGATCAATTCCTCCAAAGTAAATAACTGATCTTAATTCTTTAGCATATACAATCTGACCCACTGCATCTAAAAACCTTCTAAATTCTGCATCAGATAGGGGAGGCCTTGGAGGTTGGAAAGGAGTTTCATCCTCACCGAAATTGAATGCTCTCTGTACCATGTTCAAAGTTTTTCCCATCTGAAAGAGATTATGTGATTGCCAAACAAAAAATTCCAGAAGTACACATAAACAAATTACTATGAGAGACAGATCTTGGAATATTTGTTAAAAAGTTGAATTGAACTCTAGAAATACTTAAAACATTCCTTAATATTGTAAAAAACAACTTTCACAAAATATTTACTTGGATTCAGCTGGTTTTTCTCATGATAAAAATATTATCAAAAACTAAGTAGAACATTCTGAAATAAAGAAAACTACCTGATTGAAAATTCCATGCAATCTAGGTGATGGCTTAGCTTCTTGACTAGTAGCTGTTCTTATTTGAGTCAAGATTGGTACATTCTGTTTGATTTCCCAGTCGTCAGAACATTCTTCAAAAGGTCTTAAATCGACGCGCAAACATAAACATGCTTCACTATTGGTAGCTACTGATGTATTATGTGCTCTGCAAGACAAAATCATCAATCACTTTGAACCTACATTTTATTTGAGTAAAAATACAACACTAAAAAATCAAAATATAATTATGCTATTGAAAAACTTCACCATCTATTGGAAAGAGTTAAAAAGAAAGGGGGAGGTAGCACTGTTACTGGCCAGACGCACCAACGGAAAGACATGGGAGCTTGAACGACATGTTATATTGGCTCTTTACCATGGTGTTTAAACCCGTGGTCTGGTGACCACTATTAACAAACTAAGCAGACTGCAAGGAACAGCATGCTTGGGAATAATGGAAGCAATCAAAACCACTTCTGCAGCTGCATTCGAGACACTTTTCAACCTTCCCCCTTTACATGTGTTAATAATGGGCAACGGTGGGACATGTGATGCACGTTTGGAACCTTTAGTGCAGTAATGAATATTACTGAAGTTTTTCCCAACACCAAACCGTTATTTTAACACACGTGTTTCGATCACCAAGTGATCATCTTCAAGAGGAAGATCAAACTGAATATATTTACAAAATTATCCTTATTTATACCATAGATACCTCTTCTAAGTACCTGTGTCTTAAGTGTTTCAAATTAATTTCACAATACTGCCTTATCAACTAGTCTTAATTAATTTTACAATGTGTCCTTATGTNAAAACATTTTTCTTTGTGAAAAATACTTTGACTTTATGCAGTAACTTATCGGGGTAAACTCTTTCTACACTTGTATAAAGTTCTCCATTATAATTTTTATATTTTTCAGATTGTGGAAAGTAAAGAATACCCAAAAAAAGTCTATGAAAAACTATTTTCTTCCACAAAAAATGACTTTCGTTGAATGGTTTGTTCTAGTTCTATCTTTTTATTTGGAATTGTCGGAACAATACATTTTATGACCTTCAAGAAGTTTATGGCACTTTTTCCTTTCCACACAAAAAGGATGAAAAATGTCTCCTACAAATGAGGAATACTCATGACTATTTTTCACTTGAGTTTTTAGGTAATTCAATAAATTTTCGTTGAAGAAATCTATTGAGGTAGTGCGAGATCTGTAAAGTGATTTCATACAAATTGACTTCCAAGTTTTATTAAATTAGAATCATTGAGTTGAATCAGTTCGTGCTTTTATACATATTTGACTTCATATAAACGACGGTGCCATCGTTTTGATTCAAGTTTCCTTCACTGTATATTAGTTCATAACCAGCAACAGACGTTATTTTCCTTGTTTCTCTCACACAATACAATCATATTCAAAATGGAATTCTGTAAGGAAAATTCTGAATTCAAAGTTTTTCTGATGCTTCTTATGTTATTGTGGACCAATGTGAAGTTCTTAGAGTTGCTATTGATTTCAAGTAGTTCCTTGGCTTGTTTTATTGATTCTAATGTAAACGTATCTATGAAGTCACTTTGAAAAACAAGAATGAGATATTGCGCTACAACATTCACACCATTTTTCTAAGAGGTTTTGTGGAACTTAAATTATTCAATGAGAATCATTTGAACTCAAGTTTAAAATGTAGTAAAATATCTCAGTAAAATAATACAGCTGATATGGTATTAACAAAAGTCTTAAAATCTACAAATATTACCCTATCCTAATAAAGAAGTGGAAACATTAAAGTCTAGAGATTACGAGACACATAATTGTTGTTCCTAAGTCTTCATCTCTGTTCCTTCACTAAGTATGGTGTGGTTTGTTGGAGTACATTTTCAATTTTCTCTGCCTCAGGAGTACTTTTGTTTTCCTCAAAATCTTTTGTCGTTTTGTTTTCTACTCTGGATGAATTTATTTCTTGTTTATTTCCTTTTCCTATCTCTTTAGCAACTGTTTGTCTTGTGATTTTTCTTGACGGATCTGGTGGTGGAGGGGCGCTATTATTTATGGGGTTTAGATATTTATGGTATATAAGATCGTCTGCAGTATATGGAATATTATTCACGCACAGTTTATTACTCTTAATGAAACACCGATCTCTCGTTTTATGCATGCTTGCCTGAGATGCTCTCTAAAGATTTTATATTCGTTCCTTTGAGTTGCGGTTAAGTCGTTGGAAATATAATAATAATCGTCTTTATTGTTTCCCAGCTGTAGTTATATACAAATATTTAAATAAATTACAGAGCTAGTTGCTGACATAATAAAAGGCGAAGTTCAACTCAGTTAGTTGCTGAACCTTTTAATTTGTTATAATTTTAAAGAATTTCACGTTTTTCCAAATTGGACATTAATTTTCAGTGTTTCCCAACGTATAAATGTTATTAACGTCTGATTCTGTAAGCTGTACATTCAACACTTCCTTGATTTTGTTACACATAATACACACTTCCTTAAGATTCTTGTCGAGTCCAAAAATTATTAAATTATTTTTTTTGTTTTCTCTTTCTCTTTTTTCAATGTATTAATTTTTTTATTGAGAAATTCAGTTTTCAATAGCGCACGTGTTTCACTAGCTTCGATAAAATGCTTTAATTAATTCCTGTTTCTTATTATTTCATCAAATAATTACTTAATAGTGATTGGTGATCCTTTCGAGCTCATCTTGCTCGTCAGTTTGCTTTTTATTTCTGCGTGTATGCCCACCTTTATTCCAATTGGGTTCCTTTGATTTTATTTTTATCTAATTTTATCAGTAGTGACTGAGTTTTTGTTCGCAGGGATATTGTGTTGTGGCAGCTGTAATAGATATGCTTTCAAATTAATGTTGTAGAAAACATTGCTTTTTTATAATTTTTTTACTATAGCTTAGTGCCTTCACTTCACTTAACATGTGTTTCATTTTCAAATATTTGCTTTCATGAATTGTCTTGAAAACACTATTTTTATAAAAGCACTTCAGTATACGTTGTTCACCTTAAAAGCAACATATAATTGTTATTTTTAGCTAGTTATTTGTTTTTTCAGGGATTTCAAAACATATATCATGTTAGACAATGTAAGTCTAAACTAATGAAATTCACCATAAACATTTTCAACCACATTCAAACAGATTCATGTTTGTAATTGCACATCAAAATTATTTTTAAAGAGGCATCTATTAGGTTAGTTTTCAATCAAATTAATGAACCTTTTAGTGGGGGCGGATGCAACCCCTAAAATCTTGAATGGGAAGGGGGTTGAGTGAATACTCATTCTAAAGGTTGTTCAGTTACCTTTTCGCAATACCACATACTCTACCTTTCTTTTTAGTACCTTAGGATAAATCAACTAAAACCTTTAATATATTTGAGTATCAAGTGTTTTGCAACAAAATATCAAAAATAATAAAACTAAATTTATTACTATGTGTTCGAAATGTCTAATTTTTTCAGAACAGTGATAAAGGCTGCTCTCAGAGTCCTCTCTAACATTACAAAAAAACTCATGTCTGAAGTGCTCTACATACAGCTGTTATTCTCCTCATAAAATCTTACAAATCTCGAGGTTACATTTTATAAACAATTGATTTTAGATGCTCTCATAGAAAGAAATGTAAAGGCAATAAGTCAGCTATAGATATTTACAATATCTATTTGAATTTTTAAACTAGTTTTAATCAAGGGATCTATTATTTCACCAGTTAGATTTTCCACAATGACTCAAGGTCGAATTGGTATTCTCAAGAATACAAGTCCAAACGTTCACTTTCTCTGGATACTGTGTATGACCTCACCTAAAAAGTCACAGATTTTCTTTGCTTCGGTTGCAACTTTGTTTGTTAACATGCCCATTGAAAAAGTTCACCCATCAGTAAAGCAAATATTGTGCAAAATATTTTGCTTTTCATTTATAAAATGCGTTGTTGTTTCACAAAATTCAATTCTTCTGTTGAAATTGTCGTCAAAAAGCTGTTGAAGAATTTTCATTTTATACTGGTGAATTGTATTCAACTTTAGTGGTTTCCTTACTGTTTCGTGACCTGGCTTTGAATTAAAAATAATATTAGGTTAACTGCAACATTTTGTCATTTTGAAATGGTAACTTTGAATAATTTGAATGTTTTATAAATTTGAAATCCAGTTGTGAACCAGTAAAATATACATGAACACTTTCCTTTTAACATTGATATTGCACTAATTGTTACTTATAAAACTGAGTATATTTATAAGATGGTTGAATAATTTCATTAGCTTATAAATATGTACAATTTTCTGTAGCAAATATGTAGCCAAAAATATTTTCTTACCTCTAAAAAGTTCTGAGTAAAATCGTCACATGTGTATAGTGACTAGTTATTCATGGAGTTGTAAGTTTTGCTGATTAAATGTGATTTTGAATAGGAAATAGATGAACATCTAATGTATTCAAATACGGAATATAATTTTGAAATGATATACTTAATAGTCAACCATCAACTATATGATGGTCAACAGTAAACCCGTTTATCCTATATGCGTACTTGAGAAACATTTCATAATAGAAGCTGGTAAATTCAATCTTACTTCAAAAATGCAGCATCTAAATCCCAATCAGAAAGTAAGGGCATATAGGTTTCATGCCCATTAACATCATACACTCTGAAACATATTGTAAACTCTCCTTTGAGGTCAAAAGCTTTAGCTAAAATGCTCTGAAGTACTTCAAAAGAAGTTATTTGTGGGTCTACACTGAATTTTCGCCATTCTGGCTGTTGGTTACCTTCACATTTCTGAAAGAAACATGTTCAAATAACAATTGCTAAAATAAAACTGAATTACTTACTTTGACTTTCACTCTTACCGCTTCACGGCTGTAACCAAAAACACCCGACATACTTAAAATCAAATAAACTCAAGAAATTGATGTCCACTTGTTAAATTTTTATCATACTAATTATTGGAAAGTGCACCTTCTGCACCATATTCCCAGAACAGTCCGGCGATAAATTGTAATTTTCTCTCATATTTTCCTTCCACAAAAACTGCAGATATTATGAAAATTGACACAATTACCTTTCATCTTTTATAACATTTCAAAAACAAAAGCCAAAAATATCACAATTCACAACCACTGTCACAACACAAAACAGGCTGGCAAACATGAATCTCCCAGTTGCGTTAGTTTTTGCCGAAAATTTGAAAATGTCTGTGCTTATTTCAGAAAGTTATGTGCTACGTGACGTGTTGATTGCAATGGTAAAAATAGACATGTATATGCATATTTGATATCAGTACACTTTTCAATATCCTTGAATATTATCAGTATTGAATAATTTTGGGCCTAAAAACTACGTGTTATGTCGAAGAGAACTAATTTAGCTTGGAAGTCAATAAAAAGGAAAATAGAAAATATTTATTCCCATCAGATCGAAAAATTTGGTTCGACTAGTTGAGTTTTTCAAGGTGGATTATTCATGCGCCAGTCCTAATGAGTCGTTATAGGTCCCAATTTGTGATACGTTACAATTGTTACAACTGAAAAATGATTATACAAGCGTGAAATGATTATTATCAAGAATCAATGATCCCACTTCTTACGACTTTCAGTAAACGACTTAAGACTGTTGCGTGAATCCACCATTAAATGTGATTTTTAATTAGTACAATGAATGTATTTTAGGTATTTAATTTCTTCAATATTTCTCCTACTTCAGTTTGGGGGATATTGAAATTAGCAAAGAGTTGAAGTAGACGTAATAGTTTCAGAACCATAAAAAAAGTTATTGCCTGTGATCTTTTAAAGGTGCCGTTTCACGGGCATCAAAATTCTCACAGCTTTTATGGTAAAATGCAAAATCCTGCTCATTACGACGTTTGCTGATGACGCAGTAGATTTTTTACTATACTTGAAGTGAAAAGGACTGATATTCGAGCAGTGATATTGGCGTTGTGGTAATTGGTGCCCGGTTTTCGACAGAAAAGTCATTATTTCAAATAGCTGATGTGAACAAACAATTCTGAAACATATGTTTAATGTTAATGCTCGTTTATAGATGATCATCCGAATGATTGTGTTTCTTTTGTGAATTGCAAATCGCAAAATCATAAGTGAATTTGGCGTACACAATTGTATTAAGCCTTTTAATGCGAATCCGAATAGTTTATCTGTCACCTGTCATTTTTTTGAATATCGATATAGACAAGTTCTAAAAGATATGTTCCAAAAATAACCACTTCCTTACCGTAACTAGAGCTTTGACAGCGGTCACCTGAAAAATATATTATCGTTGGTCATGGGTCTAATATACATCACGTTTGTGATGTATTTGTAGAAAAATGGCGCTAAATTTGAACTGGTGCAGTATAAATATTCCTATTCGATACATTTATAATACTGCGGTTGTTTGTGAAATAAAGCTAGAGAAACTAGGTTAGAGGCAAAAAATGGAAATGATTGAAATAACACCGAAAATTTTCCAATAACTCAAATGTGTATCGTGCTTATATTTTTCTTTGAAAATTATTTATAGGAACTGCAAACTTTCAACATTTAATGCGAAGAAAATATTTTGCGAATCACTGATACTCTCTCTGATCAATTATGCAGATTTTCTTCATAAGTCTACTTTCACCAATCTATATAATGATTATAATTAATGTTCATTTCAATAGTAAAATGAAAAATACATATAAATATGGAGAAGTAGAAAGCCAAAACCATTCTCTCCCAAAAATTAAACTCTCTTAAAAATATACCCTTTTCAATTTAAACAAGATTCCAGTGGCTGGGCCTGAATAAAATAAGCCTGTGAATATCGCATTACGTACTGACATCGTTACATGAGTAGATTCAACTCATCTGTGACACAGAGTAGTAATGTTATAAATGAAGGGAACGTAACGGTAGTCGTGAGTAGTTTGTTACACTTATTCAATCTGCCGTCAAGTGAAACGGTGGTTCGAGCCGAGAACCTGAAAGCTAGATTTTTATTGCCTATTATTCAACCTGTTAAAGTTAAAAGGTAAAATCGAGTTAATCTTTTAGCTCACACAAGTTTTGAGGGTTGTTTGATTCGTAGAAAAACAACAGCTGGTTTCTCATTCCGAAACATCGATGTTCGCCATTGTAATTAATCTCTCCTGGAAATTTAACCTTTTTTCAATTCCTAATTCAATGTTCATATACAGGGTGGGGCACCGAAAACGAAACAGATCGAATATCTTCAAAACACATGTGTTCTGAAAAAAATGCAAGAACACGTCGATTTTTAATCCAAGGGGGACATCTTCCTATTATAACCTCAACTGTCATACCTCTTCCCCCACCCCTCGGTTACTATCACCCAAACAGTTTGAATAGGGAAAGTAGTAAGTGTGACACATCGTTAAAAAGGTAATTTCATAAGGAATTTATCCATGTCAATTTTAGCTACCTAACTTTCTTGCGGGAAAAAAACTGTTCCGTATTTCAAATTATGATACTACATTCGCAAGCTAATTTGGCAATGCATTATGGAGTTTTTCTAAGCGAAGAAACAAGATATGGGTTCACAATGGCGGACAAGATTTGCAATTATGATCGTCCGATTTGATTCAAAATTGATAAGGAATGATAAGTGCAAAATGCACTTCAAGATGGTGGCTCCAAAATGGCGGACGAAATTGTAATTATGGTTCGATTTAACCCGACACCGAAAACGAATTCTTCAAAACACATGTGTTGTGAGCATAATGCAAAACACGTCAATTTTAAATCCAAGGGAGACAAATCCTCTCGTTACCTCAACTTCTTCTCTCTCCTCCCCTTGGTCACTCATATACAATTTGATTAGGGAAAGTACTAAGTATGACACTGTGTCACATTGAAAAGGTAATTTCATAAGCAATTCAAAAACGCGAGTGTTCGCCACTTAACTTTTCATTTTGGCGCTCTATTGCAGGAAAAACAACTGTTTCGTTTTTCAATTCACATTTTATTTGAAAGGTAATGTGAACAATTCACGAAAAAAGAACAACAATTGAAAAAATTACATAGTCCAATCATCGTAAACTACTTTAATTCACAGTAAATGCTCAAAGTGTTCGCCATGAACTGCCATGAATGAGAGTAGGTATAAATTATTCTCGAAACGCCGTCTGACGTTTTTGAGCATTTCTGAAGTTATTTTATGACATTCGTACCTTTGGAATAACAATTGACTTACTACGCCTATGTATTGGTATAATAAAAAACCTTTTGTTTCAGTGCTTATTTGTGTCAGTTTCTTGACAGTAGTACGTCAGGTACATCAACGAGTGAAATAAAAAATGGTTTATTCTATTCATGATAGTGTAGAAATAATTGAATATTATTTCAAAAATAATGAATGTGCCAACACAGCCATAATTACAAATTTCGTCCGCTATTTTGGAGCCACCATCTTGATTTTTTGCATAGAAAAACAATTCATAATTTCCGACCCTGAAAACCATCACTTATCAATTTTGAAATGAATCGGACCATAATTGCAAATCTTGTCCGCCATTGTGAAGTCGCCATTTTGTTTTTCCCCTATAAAAACTCCATAATGCATTTTCACCGAATTTACATCAAATTAGCTTGCGAATGAAGTATCATAATTTGGAATACAGAACAGTTTTTTCCCGCAAGAAGGCGCCAAAATCGAAAGTTAGGTAGCTGAAATTGCCATTGCTGAATTCCTTATGAAATTACCTTTTTAACGATGTGTCACACTCACTACTTTCCCTATTCAAATTGTTTGAGTGATAGTCACCGAGGGTGGGGGAATAAGAGGTATGACAGTTGAGATTATGATAGGAAGATGTCACCCTTGGATTACAAATCAACGTGTTTTTGCATTTTTTTCAGAACACATGTGTTTTGAAGATATTCGATCTGTTTCGTTTTCGGTGCCCCACCCTGTACTATATAAGTAGTTGTTTCGAAAGTATTATTTCTTTCGTTCAATTCGATGTTTATATGAAAGTAGTTGTTTCTAAAATCCTTTTTATTTCATATGTGTGATTGATGACTTGTTTATTTTGTGGTAATTCATAATCAATTTAATGAAATTAATAAAAACACTTTTATCTAATTACCACTTATTAATTTTATTATAAAAAAAGCATTTTTAACGATAATAATGAAAAATCTATTTCCAGAGACAAAGCGAAGTAATTCATAAAATTTGCCAGTACCTCCAGGCCTAAGAAAACTAGTCAATGAATTGAAAGGGGTATACTTTTGGGGGATATTGATTTTTGTCAAAGATATGTTTTGGCTTTCTACTACTCGATCTTTATACAAAAAATGTGGGAATATTCCAAAGAAAGGAAAATAACAATCACTTCCACAGAATTAACTCTATACAAAGATGTACAGATCAATATGGAATCTTAAGGAACACACATATACATACAAAACATTGAGTGTCGCAATCACATGACGAGAAATTTTTCGAAAAAGATCCGAGATATTGGTGGTAAGTACCTGATTATATGACATAGTTGACATATAATCAGGTACTGATTATAATCAGGTACTGATTATATGTCAACTTCATTTTTAGTCTTGCAGTAAAATGACGATTATATTAAAAATTCAATTGACAGGTAGGAAGCAAAGTGATTAAAAAATCGGCCAGCACCTCCAGGTGTACCTAAGAAAACTGGTCGAAGGCAATGCCTGTAGGCTACGTACTTCAATAAAATCTTTTACGATGTCCAGGATTGAAAAACAAACTTCATTGGTCCAAAAAGTTGAGAACTAATGAAAAAACCCCAAGAATGTTCCATCAAATGTGTCCGGAGATAGCATATTTCAAGAGTTCTCCAAGATTAGATGAAGTTGATCATATCCCCAGCATGAGAGCACATGATCTATTGGGCGATATTGAAGTTTGTATCAACCGCTTAGTTTTTATTGCTGCCAGCTTGATAGCGGACCTGGATACCGATATCGTTGACCTATAGTATAAAGATATATTTATGCTATGGCTGAACAATACAACAGCATCATCCACAAGTTTGTTGGAGGTAAAGGAATAAAGTATTCTTGTTAAATATTCTATGCGACAGGTTGTAAAGCTGCTGCTATATCTTTCAACTCTGCTGGAGACTATTATAATGTTGTTTGAAAAACACTAAGTTCCATTTTATACCAAAATATATGTAAAAAAGATGAAAAAGAGACGTGCACTTCAGGAAATTATGAGACGCAACAATAAAGAAATT